GTAGGAAATGGCCGCAATACGGTGATACGGTAGGTCGATGGACGCAATACGGTGCAGTATGGTGTACATAAAAATAAATCAGAGAAATGTAATTTTTAAACACCAAATTTTTTTAAATGTCAGATTGTGATTTATTTCAAAGCATTTTAGATACTTAAAAATAAAAGCCTAATATGAGAAATTTTTCATATACTTTTACTTAATTTTTTTAAAAATTTAATTAAAATTATTTAAATTTTTTTACTGTTTTAAAGCTGTTGCCAAAATTTAATTTAAAAATAGTATTCGGACAAATTTCTGCAAAAAACATTTATGTTAGCTACGGAAGTTATAATAGCTTATGAATAAAATATTTTTAAAAGTTTAAGGCAAAAAATAATTATCACTTAACGCATAAACACATTAATTTGTTACTTGTATTTTGTTCACATTATTTACTTCTATTATTTGACAGGTTTCAGGCAGAAGGAAAAATTACTTCGAAAATAAAAAATCCAAATTTAGCTCTTTAAATCTTTATTTTCTCAAATTCACGGAAATTTCAATGAGATAAATTCCGCTCCATCTTTTTAAAATACAAAGATTATTTAGAAAGCTTTAATTTAATGTTATTAGACTAAAATGTTTTTATTTTATAACCATCGTTGAACAGCCGACCCAAATTTGGGTTTACGACTACTAATGTTCCACTCCGCAGCCTTGTAATTTTGAACCCAATCCAGAAGACAAGGAAACTCCTGGAACAGTACCCCCAGAGGTTTTGCTTTGGGAACAAGGAGGACTTTGCGACTCTACAGATATAACGTGCATCAGTCACCATAGACTAAAATATTTTATAACCGTCGTAGAACAGCCGACCCAATTATATATGTTTACGACTACTAATGTTCAACTACGCAGCCGTGTAATTTTGAACTCAATCCAAAAGACAAGGGAACTCCTGGATCGAGTATGGGGAGAAATTTGCCTTCGTGAAGGACTTTTTTGATGGAGTTATCCCGCATTTGCGTTACATGGAGAGGAACACCACAAGAACCTCCCACGGTTAGCCTGACGGCAAGGGGACTCTAACCCATGATCCGCCTACCACTGGGGATATTTCACGTCAGCACTGTGGTCTGTGAAAGCCGGAAGCGGAATTCGTATAGACTGGGATTCGAACCCAGTTCACCGCATTGGAAAGCGAACGCTCTATCCCCTGAGCCATCACGGCTCTGTTATTTATTTATGAAATTGATTAAATGCACAATACGCAGTTTCAAACAATTATGTACTAGATTAACAACTCATTTAAAATAAAGGCGCAGTTTAGTTTTTACAAGTATATGATTCCAATATGAAATCATGTATATGATGTGCACACGATGAAAAAAAATTTCCTATAAAATTTTTCTGCCCTAGAAAGTTTGTTATTAATAATTTTCATCTAAAATTTATTACTATACATTTTCTCTTTGTTATAATATTAATTATTATTACTAATGATTACATAAATAAGTAAATATTATTATTTGATCTACTTTGCTTTCAACTTATAATTCACTATGTGGTTAAATAAAAATCGTAATTTTTGTTTCGTTAGAAGCAACTGGTACATTACTCCATTTGTAAAACTTAAAAAGCATACAGCATGTGAACTTCTTCTGGTATTTGGCTAGCTATTTCACTATAAATTGCAAAGAAAACATATGACAATATATTAAAATTTAAATCTGACCTTAAAATGTCTTTTAAGGTTTAAGATTTTGAAGAACAAACAGTGAGGCAATTTTAAGTATGAAATCGAATTTTAAATATACGACTTCTTCAAAATTCGATTTCTCAGGAACTATTCAACCAATTTTGCTCAAATTTTATATTTCGCCATGGAAAATTACATATTTCAAAATGACGTAAAAAATTGTATACTTCACAAATCAAAATTTTTTCGACTATTATTAAATAAAATAATGAAAATTTACTAAAATTTATTTCTTGCCTGAAATTATCTTAGGATTAACGAATTTTATAATAGTGGGCCAAAATGTTTCAATTCGCTTAAAAATTCTCGAGATATGACGAAATACGCAAAAAGTAAAATTAACATCAAGGGTTCCAAACTTTAGATTGCTCTCCTGACCAAGCTATGGGAACCATATCTTCCCCAATATTTTGGAGAATTCGAAAATTCGAATCCGTTGAAAATAAGGTATGTTTATTCAGAGAAAGTACGTTTTGGGGTCTGATTTTGTAACTTGAAATATCGTATGCACTAATTAATTGGCATATTTAATTGGCTACCTTGAACCATATAGAATAAATCGTAGAACGTGAAGATCCGATCATTAGATAAAAAATTACTAAAGAAGGTCCGCTTTTTTTTTTTTTCTTTTGGCGCACTGTACACAATGAGTTGATGAGTAACAAACATTGAAATAAGCAAAAACGATTTTCTAAGTCCTCTAAAAAAATATTGACAAAGGACATATCTTTATTTATGTTTTATTTTTTTTTATCTATCCTTTTATTTAAAAATTTTTTAAAATCTTTAATTCACATCATAATAATACATTCCCCCTCCTAACATGTTCAAGGGCATACACGGTATTTTGATGATCAACTTTTATTACATATGATACAATAATTACAAACATGAACTAATTAATAACATTGTAAATGAAAATTCATAACACATACAATTCATTATATATATATATATACAATTAGGGTCAGGCATTCTTCCAAAAATGAGAAAAATAACAATTTCTTTTGAAAATACAGAAAAAATTCAGAAGAAATGGGGGAACAAAATGGAAGAAACCAAAAATAAACAGAATCTGTTTGAAATTTATCTGAATTAAGATTTAAAATATATTCCAAAATATTAGTTTATATAAGTTTATTTTAAATTATTTCGTATTATAATTGCGGTTAAATAAGTTTTCTATTGTTAGTTAAAATCAAATTATAAAAATTAAATATTTTATTTACCTAGACTTTTCTAAATTTATACTAGTCCAACNCTTGTCCCCCCCCCCCCCCCAAAAAAAAGTATATATATAAATTTTATTTTAAATCGGAGGCACTAGCACGAGCTTTGGGAATCGGAATTGTCCTTCTTCAAAGAAACTGGAATCTGAGATTCCTTGATTACCTTACACAGTACCATGAATATTAAGGAATAAAGTTCGAGAAATTCAGTTTCTAAAGAAGTAAGACATTCTAGCTGTGACCTAAGATATGATGTTAAAAAGCGAGGGGAGTTTCAGATTTAACAAATCATGAAAGGGTTTTATTATGTAGCATGTAGTCACAAGAAATAGATTTTAAGGTAAAATGCAGAAAATAAATAACGATCAATTGGGATATTTTTTAGATGCTCTTTAAGGAAAAGTTATAAGCACAATAATGAAACACATTTGAAAAGTAGTCTTAGTTTCAGAAAGATAGTTATTTTTTAATATGTCGTTACGTAAATTTATTACATAGAATAAAACTACTATAATAACCAAATTTAAATAAGAAAACCTTTCTGTGCTTTTATGTTAACAGAATAATATCCCCCTAAAACATACGGTATATTTTTAAACAATGTTGATATATATTCTAATTTACTAACTATTCTAATTAGTCAAAGTTTCAGATTTGTGTTCAGCCTTCCAAAATTTTAAATTTACTTTTTGTTTTGAATAACTGTTCACAAAATAAGATGGTTCAAGAAGACAATGTTACACAAAAGTGTTACAATGTTACAAAAATAAATAAATAAGAAAAAATCAGGGGATCAAGATATTTTATTTTCTTTTTCAATTACTGAAAATCTGTAGTCGTTTGGAATTAAATTTAATATTGTTTTTTTGTTCAATTTTATAATGTTATATGCCCCAATCAAAAACATTTTGATGTAAACAACATATTAAAATGTAAAAAGTAATTATTTAGATTTCTTTGAAGAAAGTCATTTTTATAATTTCTACTACGGGTTTACAAGTAGGAATATGACACAGAGCATGAGGTAGATTTAACTTTATATCACTTCTAATAAACTAAATGTTAAAAAATAAAGAGCTAAAAATAATATTTCCACAGCAAACGAATTATAATTATTAAAAAAATGATGCATAAATATATAAAAACATTGCTGTTTTTATGAAATTCAAACTCATACATACAGTTACCCAAACTATTAAATACTACTTATTTTTAGTTTCTTCGGTTATACGATTGATAGTTTCTATTTCAGTGAGTCATAGAGCAATTTTACCCATGGAACACATTTAAAAAAAAAAAAAATTACTGTGCAGACCATTCTAACAATTTTTTTAGTTGACTAGGCTTCATCACAAACCTTCATCGTTGCTTGCCGCTTGCATCCATCATTGTTTTTCTTTTAAGTCAACTCTGCTCAGTCCAATAAGTCAATAGTACTTTTCAAAAATAAATAAATAAATTGTGAAATACATAATTATTATTTTATGAACGAATATTTTGTTGATAGGTTAATCATAACGAAATGAACGATTATCTGTAATTGGAAAATAATCAACTCCACTTGAAAAAAATTTAATCTTAGAAATACACAATGTGTAACGTGATTGTGCAATCAAAAACAATAAAATAGACGTAATTTTACTTGTTAACTACACACAGCTATAACTTTATTTCATGTAACAGTTCAAATTAGAAACCATTCTGCTCTCTTTAATGTTTTATATTTTTAAAAATTTCAACACAAATACTAAGATTTATATCTGACAACATCTAATCTCTCTTATGATTTTTTTGATTGATTCATTTTTTTGATATCAAGTTTAGTGCGAGCTTCTAAAATGAAGATCTCGAGGAAGATAAATACATTTTTCTGTAACAAAGGACAATTATATATTGAAAAAAAAATGAAGGAAAAAAAAACTCTCCTAAAAATATTCTCCTAAAAAATATCTACTTAATTCAAACATAAATATAATTTTACTTTTATCATAGACACTTTTCAAATAACTTTCAATAAAGACACTTTCAAATGAAATGGGTTAATTTAGATTTATTTTAATAAGATTCTCTCTACATAAAATAAATAAAATCTATTATATTTAATCTAACTTAAATATCCCTCTATTATAAGCACAGTTCAATATTTAAGGTCCAATAATATCTAAAATGAAATTTTTACCTTTTGTTAAATAAATTTCTAAATCTCAATTCATCATAATCTTTCAACAACTTCATAAATTGTTTTTAAATAACTAGTTTTTTCTTTCAGTCTTATTTAGATTAAGAATTTCGATTTTTGATCTTGTATTTTCTTTCTGATTTGATTATTACATTAACTTCCTTCTTCTTACTTCATGGATCACGATTGAATCAACGCTTTCTCTAAAAAATTAATAAGAAAATTTACCACTTAAATATTAGAATAGAATTGTTAGTGTTTTCTTTTATATTGACACCCTTAATTATTTAATTATAAAAAAAAATGCAGATGCAAAATGGTTTAACATCGTTATTCTAATGATAATTCCTAAAAGAATCAAGTTTCTTCTGACTTCTCAGCAAATAGAAAAATAATTTCTGATGAAATTGAGTTACTAGAATGAAACCAGAATTCATGGAGTCAAAAAATTGATTTCTTGAGGATTCAGATTCCTTACAGTTCAGGGTACGACCCCAGGAATATTTTAGGAAGATTTTTAGAGCACATTTTTAACAAGATAAACAATAAATTATGCGTAATTTAATTTTTACTTTAACAAGTCATTTCTCAAATTGCAAGCAAAACAATAACATACTTATAGTAGACAATTTAAAAATATAATTTTTTTTACTGTTTCAAAATAGTAAAGGTTTTTTAATACTCATCATCAATAAAAAAATTTAATTTATTATTTTATTACTTAATTTTGCCTATATTTGATGGATTTTATTTAGTTTTCCATTCTTTTGAAATAGAGATGATTTAAATAAAATATTTCTATCTCACAGTTTCAAGCTCATAATTAAATATGAAGCATGAAATTGTAAAGGAAAATTTGAGATATCGGCTGCATACTGAATTATAAACAATATTAAACAAATTTAAAAAACAAAAAAAAATAATAATAATAATTCATTGCACTTTTATGTTAAAAGTAACAAGATTTAAATGTAAGGAAATAAAAGTTATTCCACCTAATGTTTAGGTGGATAGAAAAATTAAGTACAAAAAGTTTATTATTGCCTCATTATAACAATCTTTACTAGATTATGTCACTTATAAGGATCTAGATAAGAATACACAAGTTCCATGGAAAAGGGGGGATATAAAATTTAATGTTGATTATAAATGTCTTACAATAAATAAGGTGTGTTCCTTTAAATATATTAATTTTTTCAAACCATAAATTCACGCAAGAAGTCATAAGTAATAGTTTTCATTTCAGTTTATTTTATATATATACATATATATATAATTGGCATGAGAAATCAAATTGCAAAATTTGCGAGACTATGATGGAGATGGATTTTCACTATGATGGAGAAGATTGTGCTTAATTAGAGCTTTATTTTTTGTAAAACTCTTATTACATTTATTACATGGAAAAGGTTTTTTTTGCTTTGTATGAATCAAATTATGTCTAACTAAATGACTATTTCGAGAAAAACTCTTATTACATATACCACAAGAAAAAGGTTTTTCACCTGTATGGACAAAGCTATGTTTAGTTACAGCACTATTTGTTGAAAATCTTTTATCACATATACTACAAGAAAAAGGTTTTGCATCGGAATGGATAATCTTGTGTTTATTTAAAAGTGCATTTGTTGAAAACCTCTTGTTACAAGTGCCACATGAGTAAGGTTTTTCGTCAGAATGACTAAAACTGTGTCTAGTTAAGTGACTTTTACGAGGGAAAGTTTTTTGGCATATATTACAAGAAAATGGTCTTTCACCACTATGAACATTACTATGTTCAGTAACAGCACTTTTAGTTGAAAAACTTTTATTACATATATTACATGAAAATGGTTTTTCACTAGTATGAAGAAAGTAGTGTTTAGTTAAATTATTTTTTCGGGAAAAACTCCTAAAACATACATCACAAGAAAAAGGTTTTTCACCAGTGTGGACAACACTGTGTTCAATTAAATGACCTTTTTGTGAAAAGCTTTTACTACATACAATGCAAGAATAAGGTTTTTCACCAGTATGAATATGCATGTGACGATTTAAAATATATTTCTCTGAATAACTCTTGTTACATACCGGGCAAGAAAAAGGTTTTTCGCCAGTAGGAATAGCATGGTGACTTTTTCTGACAAGTTTATCAACAAAACTATAAGTAGACATGCTATGACAGTAATGATTTGCTATAAATATATCTCATATATGTAAATATCTCCTTCAACAACAGTAAATCTCTTTAAATAAACAACATTTTTAGGAAATAAACAGGAGATGAAGAAATTTAGTGACATATGATATGTATAATTTTTTTTCTTCAAATATTCATTAGCTATGCATACATAACATAAGCACAAACTTTCCTTAAAAGTTGATTAAATATTTTAAGATGTCAGAAAATAATGAGACAAGTAAAATGTAGAAATAAATTGGTATCAAATATGAACAATTTTAGATGAGACACACAAAAAAATTATTTCTCAAAAGGTAAAACATTAATTAAAAAATGTTCTAAAGTATCTTCAAATCAGAATTCTCAAAATTGATAATTAAAATTCTCTAATTAAACTAGTATTAATTTTAAAGACCTCAAAACAATTAGAAAATATTTCCTTCTCTTTGAGTAACAAACAATAAAATAATTAAATATATATAAAAAGTGATCAGTTACTAATCACAATTGCAGTGTACTGTAAAATTTCAGATTTTCGAAAAATAAGCACCACTCTATCTTATTTGAGTTACCATCATTTAGCTTTGGCTATTGGTAACAGTCATCCAAAACTGCTCGCATCAAGAGTAGATTAAAATACAGCACTAAAAATCAAAATCTTCATGAAAGTCAATAGAAGCAAGTTTAAGGCTTACAAATTGAAAACAAAATTAGCAGTTCAATAAATATTCACATGTCCTCTGTTAACCTTTAGATTGCAGCTGAAGATTATGTTGACTAAAACCTAAGAAAGAAACATATAAACTGTTAAATGATACAAAAACACAAAACTAAAATTAAGTAATACAACAAGAGCATACATTTTTCCTTCAAAAAACACTTGCAATGTAATATGAAGCATTGAAATGAAATATAATTTTGTCAATTAATAAATTTTGAGACATGTTCCTTTCTAATTATTTGAAAGAATCTTATATATTTCTATATTGATAAAAATCAAGGAGATATTTCTTTTCTGACAATGAGGACAGTTTATTAGTTTGAATCATGCACAATACTTGCACTATAATTACAACTATAATTATGATTCATATTATTTATCATGCATTAAAAATATAACCAACATTATTTTAACCATTAACTACTTTTAAAAAACATGGTACTATTTATGCTATAAGATTATTTTTATTTCATATGCTATTATACAACCTATTAACATTGTGCAGATAATAACTATGAGCCCTTTAGAACAAAAATTATTTTTCAATTAAGAATTTTTTTAAAATTTAAAAACAAATGCCTGAAAAAAAAATAAGAGAGCAAGCAATAATTAAAGATATCATGAAAAAGAAAAGATATTCTATCTTCATTTGTGAAAAATAAGGAATAGTTATCCTTTTAAGAAACAAAAAAAAAAGCATTTCCTTAAAGTACATTTTTCGAATTATTCTTCTATTTGACAGCAAAATAGTTGTGATGATACGGTTATGAACTTCATAAGAAGAAACTTTAAATAAGCACAAGTCAAAAGCTATGTTACAGTTCCGTTAATTCCTTCTTTTAAAATCAAAGATTTCTTTACGATTTGCAAGTTTAACAGTTCATTCTGATTTCCTTATTGGTTCAGTATCAACATCTGCTTTTTCTGCCATTGTGCAAAACTTAAATGTGCGTGTATCGCAACAATGTATACTTAAAATATTAGGATTTTTAAAATTGTACAATTTTATACATTGCAAGTTAAAATAACCCAAATAACAAAACTCTTTTTAACTTAAGAAGCAACCGAATTAAAAACAGAGTTAATCAATAATTAATCAGTACAAAAAGTTCATTCAACATACCAATCTACACAAAAAAAAATTAAAATCCTCAAGAATTGCAATCCATCCTGACAGAAGTTTAAATAGGAAGAGAAGCTTCATAAATTACGCCAACTTGATTCCTCTATGGTCATAACTTTACACATTTACAAATCTGATGATATGAGTAAACAAATAATTATAAAACAACTATTTGTTTACTTTCACTCTACAAGTGAGATCTACAAATCTTCTCAGCTTGAAGTTCGATCCGTTCGTTCGAACCGGTTGCATCATTTTAACGAACGAATCTAACAAAAGCGATTTTATCGAATGCGAATGAAAATCTGATTGACCACTTTATTCAATCTTTTTTATCAATCTGGTTCACATGCGAAAAATCGCAGAGAGTGTGATTGACCCGTATTCATGAATAATGCTTAAGGGTCATTCACACTGCATACAAAATTGCGAATTTGACGGTGCGAATGAGAACCCGATTAGTGTAAAATATTTCCCAGGAAAAACTCGCCAAACGGATTCCGGATCGCATCTTCAAATATTCATACGTGATTACTAATGCAATAAATACAGATTTTTTCTTGCATTTCCGAATTCGAGTCCCTGGATTATTTGCATACAGTGAGAATTAAGACTTTAGATAAATGGTCCCGCAATGAACTGATCGTTAAGACACGGTTCCCAGCAGATCACCGAAGTCAAGCATCACTGGCTACGGTCAATGTGCGGGTGGGTGACCACTTGGATCAGTCTGCGTAGGGTCCGCGGTATTGGTCCTCGTTAAACTGTTCCACCGTAAAGTGCTCGACCTCTCGTGCAGATCGTCGGGCTACAGAAGCCGGGTTACCATCCCCTCTACAGAGGATCAAATTTGTGATGGTATGTCTTCGGATCATCCTCAGCTATGTTTCCCAGACAGTCGCCAATAGCTCATTGTGCAGCTCTACTGCGACGTAAATGAACTAAAACAACTTTAGATAATGAGAAATAACAAAAAAACTATTCTAAAGGAGCTCTCACTGAATGTGGTTCACGTTGAGAACCTGATGGGATCGGAAAATGTTTTTCCGCGGAAACTCATCAATCAGAATCTTAATTTTTCTTTGCTGTGATCAGAAAGGCGTGAGCCGTATTCAGTGAGAATGGCGTTCAACTGTTATAAAATAACAATAAAAGATCTGTAGTTCAGAGTTAGTTATATACTTCTTAGCACCAAGATCCTCAAAACTATTAATAAACTAAAGTGTACCGATAAATTACTTAAAAAATACATTAGAATCAATATCTCACTTGCTTGGATAGCAATGCCAGACGCATAAATATGTACGAGTCAGAATTCCCAGTGCTATTAGACTTCCGACTTTGGTGTGATTTCATTCGATTCAGCGTAAAAATATTACATTAAAAACATAACATCACTTGCCTAGATGGCAACGTGTATGTTTTGCCCCCTTTCATTTAGTTGTTCTAGGTTAAGCTCTTTGAATACAATAGGAAAGTTAATGGAAGATTACGCCATAATCAAATAGTTAGGATGACACCCCTCTGGAGAGGATCAAAATTGTGATGGCATGTCTTCGGATCATCCTCAAGGATGTTTCCCAGATCGTCGCCAATAGTCCATTGTGCAGCTCTAGTGCACGTAAATGAACTACAACATTTTTAAGTAAAATCGACAAGAATTTTTATACATACAGTGGGGGCCAAAAGTGTGGACACTTTTTGAAAGTTTCATGTTTTTCAACTTTGTGTGCTTGTAGAGTATATTAATTTTCACTTAAATACAAACGTTTATATATCAAATTGAAGGTAATTTAATGTAGAATTTAATAATAAATACAGTATTACAATATCTGTATTACAAAAAAAGTTATGCAATTAATAGTAAGATCTATCTTAGATTTGCATTTTTT